GGGGGGGGGGGGGGGCTAGCATCTCTTCTGACTCTACCCTTCTTCATCTCCATCTTCATGTGAACGTACTGCCTAACCTTATTCTGTCTCGCCATTGGCCAAACAGCTTTATTTATGAACCAAAGAGAGCAACACATACTCACAACGTACCAAAAGACATCCCCCATCACATACGTCTGTGTACCGTGTCCATGCCTGGTGCCTGTGTAGGCCAGAAGAAGCCAGTCGATCCTCTCAAAGTGGATCAGACTCCATGGACGTTTCTGAGCCATTATGTGGGTGCTGAGAATCAAATCTGGGTCCTCTGGAAGAGCAGCCAGTGCTCTTAAATGCTGAGCCATCTCTCCAGGCCCCAAATTTCCCTTTTTAAAGCGGGCTATCAGTCAAGCTGCCTAACACAGAAAATAATAAAACCTAAGTGAACCTGGAAAGGGATGGCATCCCATGTTCTTTTCCTTAGCCTGTCTAAGTCACTGTAATTGGAAAAAAAAATATTTTAAACTTTTTATGGCATTTCATTTATCTTATAAGTGCTAATGTGGGCCTGTGGAGGACAATTATTGGGAGGAAGGTGCTTTGTTTTGAGACAGGGTCTGATTAGTTCTGACTGTCCAGGAACTCGCTCTGTAGATCAGGCTGGCCTCAAACTCACAGAGATCGGCCCACCTCTCTGTGTGCTGGGATTAAAGGCGTGCGACACTATACTTAGTAGTTTTCTCCTTTAACATGTGGGCCTTGTGGACTGGGTTCTTGGCAGCAAGTGCCTTTACCCACTGAGTCATCATGCCAGCCCCTGCGCTCTTCTTCCAGAAGAATTCTTCTAGTTTTCTGGTGATCTCTTGTCTCCAAACGCTATGCCTTTCTTAAACTCAATTGAAGCCTTTGGGAAATCAGATCCAGGAGATTCAAGAGCCAATTCTTTTTCATCTCCCACCACCTTTGGGTCCTCCACCCCCCACCACCACCCACACACAGACAGGGTTTCTTTGTGCAGCAGCTCCAGCTGTCCTGGATGGAACTCGCTTTGTAGATCAGGCTGGCCTTGAACTCAGAGATCTGCCTGTCTCTGCCTCCCAAGTGCTAGGATTAAAGGCGTGTGCCACCACAGCCCAGCTGAGCCAATTCTTTTTACCTTATTCTATGTTTCCCTGAGGGAACCCAGTATGCTCCAGCTGAAAGAAAGAAATGGAGAAGTGATGTATGATTGATATCAGTCTGTACTTCTAACTCATGGCTACAGGCACTGTCGTGTAAGAGGGTGGGTTGGACTCTGAGAGATGGGAATGAGTTTGGAGTCTGATATCAGAGTGTTTCCCGCTGCTGGAGGTTCATGCTTTGCCCTGGGGACATCTAAAAAGCCCTAACACTCGAAAGAAAACAATCCGTACTCTAAAGGACCAAGGAGGAAATCCCAATTAGAGCCTTTCCCAAATTCTGCTCTATATCCTTTCCTCCAAGTGGACTTTTTCTTTTTCTCTCTCTTTTTTCCCCTTTGAGACAGGGTTTCAAATATCCCAGGCCCAGGAGGATGACCTTGAACTTCTGATCTTCCTGGCTCCACTGGGCAGTGCTGGAATTACTGGTGTATGCTACTACTATGTGTAGTCTGGAAGTGCTGGGGATAAAACCCAGGGCTTCACACATGCTGGGGAAACACTCTACTGACTCTTACACCCCCAGTCCCCCATCTCACATTGGTAATGTGTTTCTGTTAACTCAGAAAGTCTCTTACACAACCCCAGGTCCCCAGTCTTTTCCTATTTTAGTCTCTCTTCACACGACAGCCAGAGTCATCTAAACGCCGAGTCTAGACCTGCTTCTATGCTGCTCAGTCTAGTCACAGCGACCCGGTGTAAAGATGCTGTCCACACTGTGTCTCGTGGCTTGCAGTCATGTCCACCACCTGCTTCTGCTCACCATAGTCATACCTGACTTTTTGGAAGTGACGTCAGTACATCTTAGTGACCTTCCTTTCCTGCCTGAACATATGGTTTGAGGTTGGCCTGCAATAAGATTATCCATTTGATGACAACATGTACTGTCGGGCAGAATTCAAGTCTCAAATTCTGGTCAAAGTATTCCTCTGTTCACTCCCATTTCTAGGCTCTTGTCCCTTGTGTTAGGATCATTGGCTAGTTAACAAGTCCCCACTAAATGGTGATTCTCTTAAGTAGGAACTGTTCTTGACCACTGAATGACCAGTACAAAGGGCTGTGCGTGGGCATACGACTATCCCTAGACACTGCAAAGAACAGTAGCTCGTGTCTAATGCTTTCCTTCTGTCGCCATTCAATTAGATAGCCATCTTGGGGATGTCTTTGAAAGTTGAAACTGGGCCATTGAGATGATTCAGCGGATCCAGGCACTTGTAGCACAGCCTGGTGATGGGAGCTCAGTCCCTGAAACCTGGAACCCACGTGGTGGAGGGAGGGAAGAAGCTCCCCTGACCTTCACACATGTGCCATGGCACACATGCCCGGGCATACATCATGCAGTAATAACATTAAAAAAATCTATTAAAGTTGAAACAGGACTGAGGATGCAACTAAATGGCAGGGCACTAGCCTAACATTTGTAAAGTCCTGGTTCAAACCCCAATATCTCACATATACACAAATAAGTAAACAAACAAATAAATAAATACCAACCAGCACAGATATTTAGAGCCAGGTATTTCTAACTTGGGTGATTGGAGGGTGAGAAATAAGCACACTCTACAGTCACGAGGGCTTAAATCTAGTCTTTGCTGAGGGACTTCGGGCAATTTTGCTAACATTTTTCTGCTCTGGTATCTCTATGAGCTTGACAGTAATTCCTGTATCATAGACTTTTTTTTTCAACAATGTATTTTTATTTTATCATTCAATTTAAGATTATTTTTTCCAATTAGACTTTCTCCGAGGTATCTGTAAAATAGGAAATATGTAAAGAATGTACCCAAAGACTCATGTATGCCTCAGTGTGTGAGGCTGTTGTTGTTAAGAGGCGCTAAGGAAGACGCCCAGCTCCTGCACGCCCCTGCTGCTGTTTGCAGCTGGAGTCGGTGTAGGTACCTGCTGTTCTCCCTTCCGGATGCCTTGTTGTTTGGCCTAAGGGCTTCATGTCCTGATGGTTCCCTCTGACAAAGATGTGAATACAGAAAGGGTTGATTTGATGAGGCACAAATAAAAAGAAATAGAAATGAAATGTAAGCTTTGGTTTCCCTACTTGGGCATTTTGCAGTTCCTATCATGGTCTATGATGTAGAGACAAGACAAGGGCTTCAGCATCCCGGCCATCTCCTCTGCCTTTCTGCTTCCAGAGATACCATCCTTCAAGGTCAAACTGCTGCTGTGCATTTGGGGTGAGTCTGCCCTTGCAGCCCTGAAACAGTGCTGTTTGACTGGTCGCATCAGCCAAGCTGTGATGGATCTATGCAATTGAAATTTGGTTTTGCCAACTTCCCACCACTCACACAGAAACCAACAGAATAAGAAGAGCAAGTCTCCATGAACACCAAGTGGAGGCAGCAAGTAGAGAAGTTGGTAGATAGGAAAGAGGGATTGGCCTACTACGATCCTGGAGGGAACCGGCCAAGAACCTCCCTTTCCCAGACTGGGGATGACCTTTCAGGTCTGATAGGCAGAATCTTCACTAGTTAGTCTTGTACATTAAATTGACCAAAAGAAGGATGGGGCTAAGCCATTGCCAATGTGGGGGAGGACGGGGGCAACTTTAAAAAGCGGTGCAAATAGCGGCACACAAGAGGATCTTCAGAGATGCCCTGCACTCCCAAGAATAGACTGAACGCAAATCAGATCACACACAAACACCCCCAAGAAACCAGAGGAACAAGCAGTAAGAACTGAAAACTTACTGTCTCTATGGGATTAGACAGCCAAGCTCTTCTTAGAGCCCTAATAAAGGAAGGCTGGGGTGTAAGATCAACCTATCTCCTCCTGAAGATGCTTGTTACCTTCTTGCCATGGTCATTCCCCAAATGGGAGGCTGTGCCCTTGTGGAGCTCACAGTTGTACAGGGAGGTGAGGGTGGGGAACGGAATCAGAGTTTCTACTCTGCTCCAGGAGCTTTAGTCCCACGCAGCCCCGTTCCCTACCAACACTGGACGACACATTAGTGGCCTATCTTCTTGGAAGATTTAGATGAGGACACACAGAGGGGACACCTACAGCTTTCACTTTTGATCTGGGATATGTTTGGTGTAGAGAACTGGAAGAGACTGGGGCTCTTCATTGCAGTCGGACAGGGAGCGTGGACTATTTCTTGTAAGTGTGATATCTTCGGGGGCGCCCTGGCTCCCGATTCCTTGGAGTTTTTGATTTTGTACCAATACAGAATGAAGGTGCCCATGGTCTGACAGGATCTCTCCCCACAGAACCCTGCACAGTTGGAGAGGACATCCCAAAGCCAAGACTGCTACCTGCCTTAGTGGCTTCAGGTATAGGGGTACTCTGAGCAAAGGGGACCAGAGAGGGGGCCCCAGACACAGTCTTTCTTGCAGTGACACTGACCAGAGGTGTCATCTGGCTAGGAAGGCTCTGCATGCTCTGGTTCCAGCACTGTACAAAGGGAGCTAGGGTGCCTGGGGTCTCACTCTGTCTTACACAAGACATGCTCCTTTGTGGGGCAGCCACAATGACCTCAGGCTCCCCACAGTCCATCGGGGTCACCAGTCCTCCAAAAGCAAAGGGTCTCGGGGCTGTGCTACCAAACACTGAGCTGTAGGCCCCGCTCTGGTGGTTCTGTCTGACACCCCCAAGGGTGGTTGAGCTAGCTTCACTGAGTGGAAAACCAGCTAGAGTGCTGCCCAAACCTGGCTGGATGCTGGCAGAAGTGTGGGTAATGGAGGCTGAAGATGTCAACCCCCCAGAAGCTGGCAGTGTGGGCTTGCTGAGGGCCATTTGAGCAGGAGGCAGCGTCTGGGTTGGGGACACGACTGAGTTCCCTGGAAGGAAGGAGGGACTGAAGCTTGGGACGGGAGCTAGTTGAAGAGAACATTGCTTCTGCCTCTCTGTGGCCCCGGGTGAAGCCTGGGAAGGACTGCTTTGGGATGGTGGCAAAGGTGACTTTGGGCTTGACCCTAGAGATGTTGTGAGTGCTGAAGCCACAGTGGAGACGCTCGAGGTCCCTGTGCGCTTGTTTGTGGGCGATAAGCCTGAAGCTGGCGGAGGTCTGCTCGCCCCCTTCAGCTTAGCGGTGCTTCTGAGAGGGGAGATCTGGATGGCACTAGTGAGGACCTGGCTGAAGATGGTGACTGTGTGCACCGTGGGGACCGCGGGGTGTTGGCATGGGAAAATTAAACCGGTGGCCGAGGAAAAGCCCTGGGAAGTGCCAAGCAGCAAAGTGTGGCAAGAGGGGACAGAGTAAGAGTGGCCCGTGGTGCTGGTCACTATGTTCACGTCCGCACCAGGGTCTCTGGATGTGCTGGCTGCAACGGCAGATGTAACCATAGAGGGGGCTGTGGCTAGGCCATGGAAGAGATGGGTAGAAGCAGAAATCAGTGAAGGAGGAGAGGCCTGCTGGGGGCACACAGGAGCTGTCATGGGCATAGTTTTAAGTGGTTCTATACTTCCAAAGATAGGCTTGTGGGTGGGCCTTAAGATGCTCGGAGCTGTGGAAAGAGAAGAAGAGCTTGATGATGCTCCAGCCGTGACAGAAATTCTGGAATATGAGCAGTCTCTCACCTCACTATTGTGTACAGGCCCCAGAACAGGTCTTAATGCCGGGTGAGCAGACGCCTCCACGGGAAGTACAGATGCGGGAAGATGGAGAATCGGGCTACTCACCACCCTAAGCAGAGTGTTTTGTGTGGTAGGTGCGGCGGGGATAATGACAGATGAGTGTGGGGGTGCTGCAGACCTGTGAGCCTGAGGGACTGAAGACAGCCAGCTGGAATCAGTGACTGGTGATGGGGGAGAACTTGGAGACCCCGGGATGGAAGCAGTTGAGGGGTCTGAGTCTGAGGAGATGCCTTGAAGGTGCTCTAACTGTGAGCATCCATGTGGAACAGGCATGTTCTCTGAGCTTCTCAGCTGGGGACTCCTGTGGGTACCGACTACGCTCTCAGAAGGAGGCGGACTGAGAGACAAGGGAGGCTGAATACTAGCCCTGGCCTCAGGAATGGAGTCTGTGGCGGTCCCAGTTGTGGCGTCTGTGGTTTGGTTGCACGGCCCAGTTTGGCTCTCTAAGGTCAGGTCCTCTTCAGTGGCAACACAGCCTTGCTGGCAAGGTGTGGTCAGCAGGTCCCTAGGAGCCGATTGCAGTGGAGGAGTCTCCCAGTTCGGCTGCCCGGAGCTGCTGGGTGTGACTAAGGGGAGAGAATTAGGACTTTCCCCTGTCTTTTTCAGTGGCCAGTCTGGAGTCTGGACTGACGTCCTGGAGAAATGTCTTTTCCAAGACTCTGAGAGACACCTGGAAGAACTGTACGAGCTGGTAATAGCGTTTCTTGTAGTGCTGGGGGGCCCGCGCGTGCATACGCTAGCCAAGAGGGCCACGGAGGAACAGCTGGGCCTCTTTCGTTTGTGATCTGAGCTCTGGGCGTGGAGGCTCCTTTTCAGAGACCCAGGCCTGGCCACAAACGAAACGGTGGCCCCGCTTTTCAACAGGGGCTTAAAGGCGGACCACGGGCTGGCGGGATTCCTTTGGCCGTCCGAGCCGGCAGGGGACAGCGGCTCTCCCCACCTGGCTCTGCCCTTCCTGCACTCGAGGAGGGCCTGCAGCACGGGGTCCCTTCCACCCCCGCCTGGTGGCTCCTCCTCCGAGGGTCCCGCAGAGTTCACCGCCTTTGCGGCCGAGAACGAGGGCCGTGGCCTCCGCTCCGGCGGCGAGATCTTGACTGTCACCGGACTCCAGGTGGCCCTCGGGTGCCGAAGGGACCAGATATTCCGCTTGAGGTAGCTTTCCCACCAGTCCGAAGGAAGCGAGCCCATGATGGGGTTCTGCGGCCTCTTCATGGGAAAGCGCCTCCAGGCCTCGCTGACGAAGGCGGCGGGATTGGCGGGGTCCCAGTCGGGCGGCTTGCGGGCCGGCCTGTGCCGCCGGGCGGGCTGGGCGCGCTGGACGTGCTGCACCCGGTGGACCTGGTAGAGGGGCCTGGCCGGTCGGCGGGGGGCGGGCTTCTCCCGGGCGTCTGCGCGCCCCTGGGCTGGCGACCGCGGCGACGAGCCCGCTTTGCCCAGGTAGCTGCCCATGCGGAGAGGCGCGGGTGGGCCGTCACTTCCAGCCCGCTTTCGGCTGGAGGTCGGCGGAGATGGCCGAATCCAAGCATCCGCGGCTCGAGTGACGGTTGGGCCACGGGTGCAAGAAACGCGCGAGGGGGCCAGGGAGCTGGGGACACGCGAGCCTCGGCAACCGTGTCAGCCCGCCCTGGGATCCGCCGCGGTCTGAGCGCGGTACCGGCTTTTTCCGGGGCGACGTGGGCCGAGCTCAACCGGGCTCGGTGTCCAGGACCCGGCCAGCACCCGGCCCCGGCCCTGGAAGCGCATCCGTCCGCGTGCCAGTTCCCCACACTCTGAGCTGGGAGCGGCTCTGGGCGATTTGAATCCTACAGAGCATTTGGGGAGGGCAGGGGCGGGTGGGCTCGAGATGCCTACGACACAATAGCACGGATGGAACTGTGCAGGCAGGCCGCAGGGCATTGTGAGCTGTCCATGGGAAAGGCAGCAGCCGACCTTGCAGACGGAGGCGGTAGCTCTCGGTTCCATCAGTGCCTCCCGGGTAGCCTAACCCAGGTTTGTAACCTTGATGTTAAGCTGAACCCTGGCAGGAACCGGACTGTTAGAAGACACTTAATGCTCCTCTTCGCTATCAAACCTTTTTTCACTTTCAGGATTAGTGTGTTGAGCAGGGAAAAGCTAGAGAATGTTTCACTCTACACTCCTGTACTGGCCAATGGCATGGATTTGCCATCAAAGAACTCTGCCAGGCCAGGTAGGAGCTGGAACCTTACCTTTCACCAAAGACAAAACAAGTAAACACGCCCCAAAACCAGCTAACCAACCACCCCCACTACACACACAAAGTTACTAGAGGATATTCAGAAAATATAGAAATTATAAACATCTGTATACCTAACAATAGAGCATCGACAAATATTACACAGTTCTAGAAGATCACACTGAGATGCCACGAGTCATGAGTCCAATCATGATGTGTCTCCAAGAAGCGGTTGCGTAGAGAAACTGGGTAAGGGTGACTGAGGCATAGGTTGTATTTATGGCGAAACCTGGCTACGCACAACTGTCAGAGCTCGTTACAGCTACAATTGTGGAATTCTGTTTCTATGAAAGAGCGTGGGTAAATCCACAGAAACGGCTGTGGTCACTTAAGGCTGGGGCAAAAACAAAATGGATTAATAGAAAGGCCAGAGATGTATCGGCTAACTGGGGTGGACTGTGTGGTGGGGGTGTTTTTGTTGTTGTTTTTTAAGTAGTAAAATCTGACTGATGGGATTTTTGTTTTTCTTTCAAAACATGACATTGCTATGTAGCTAAGACTGGCCTGGAACTTGTGATGATCTTGCCTCAAGCTCACAAATGGTGGGATAATAAGTGTGCACCATTACACTCAGCTGCACCGAAACTTCTTTAACCCCTTATAATAGGGGGTTGAAATTACATTGTTTAACGTGAAAATGTGGGAATTTTATGGTTTTCATTTTGTTCTCAATTTCTAATCCCATTCTGGTTAAAAATCAATAACTAAGAGAATGTGCAGTGTGAATAAATAGATATATATAAAAAATCAACCAGTGTAATCAAACTGAGTGCCCAGAAAAAGAATCAAATATTTGTGGGAAAAGATGGTACCAGACAGTAGTGAGAACCCAGGCCATCTTTCCAATAAATACTATTGTATCCTTTGAACACTTCCCAGGGGAAGAATAAAGCAGGTCCTTTATTTTACATAAACAAAAATCAGTGTGTAAAAGATGAAACAAATCTTGCAGAAATTAACATGAAAGAGTATCTTCCTGTCACAGAGCAGGCAGGCAACAGTTCCTTAAACAGGATACTGAATATGCTAACCAAAAAGGAAAATACTGAGACTTTGAAAATAATTCTGTTAGGTTACATTTAAAAATAATATTCACAAGACATTAAAGAAGGTTGAAAGTGAAACTAGAGAGTGGGGTGAGTTTTAGCTGAAACCAGTTTCTTGTTAACGATCTATGCAGAGCACTTAGAAATGGTACTCAGTAGAGGGGGCCCTATAGGAAAAGCACAGCACTTGGGAGAAAACTGTCCAGATCGTCAGCAGACAAGAAAAGGCCCTCAGCTTCACTCTTAATCAAGGACATGCATATTAAACACACTGCACCACCACCATATACCCGGGAAAACGGCAAAATTCAAACAAGTGTAAGTTAAACTAGGCTTAGTGCCACGTGCCTGTAATCTTAGAACAGGCAGAAAGGTCAGACATTTAAGACCATCCTTCTGGCTTATCTTCTAGAAAACCAATGTTAACAAACATAACTCCAGTTTCCAGGGGATCTGATATCCTCTTCTGGCTTCTGCGGGCTCATCTGAGGTGGTAGACACACAGACACAAAATCATCCAGGCAAGATACCCATACACAGAACAGTAAATTTTTTGAAAGATCATTCTTGGTGCACTAGCCTGGGCTACATGAGACCTGTCTTAAAAGAACCGAAAGCAAAGTAACAATACAACGAAAAAATTAAAGTTGTGAGAGACACTTGGAAGCCTGTGTAGTATCTCTTAAGGCTGGGCCTATTTCCAGCAGTGGCAGAGGCAGAGAGACACAACCAAGTCCACAGTTCCCTCTCAGAGGCCTCCATTAGGGCAAAGCTGGATCTTTGGCTTTACCATAGAAAAGAATTTCAGGATAGGCCAGTATGAAGCCGAATTAGAGCTGAAAGGTCTTGGAAGTAGGTTTCAAGGGGACACTGAGGCAGATTGTTGGGGCTAAAAAGTGTAATGGAAGAGCTATTAATTCTATGGACAGAGAATAGCATAGTAGGAGTTCTGGGGAGAAGCAGTCCCACTGGGGAGTCAGGGTCCCTTATAAACTAAAAGGCTGGTGATGTGATGCTAGGTCAGACTGCTGCTCAAGCTTCAGTGTCTGTATGAGCTCTCCTCTCACAGATACCAATAGGCACCCCATCGACAGGTAGATCTCTATGAGTTCAGGCCAGCCTGGTCTACATAGTGAGTCACAACCCAGCCTGGTCTACATAGTGAGTTCCAGGCCACTGTTAGATGTTATCTTTGAATCTCTAGCTAACAGACTTCCAGGTACCTGGAAGGGGTGTTAGTTGCAACACATTCTTGCTCCCCTTCTCCTTCCCTGCCTCTGGCTGGGGAATCAAGTCTGGCTGCACAGTCCCTGGAGAGCTGTAAGATCCTACCCAAGTCACATATATTCAAGCCTTAACTCTGGTTTACTGCTATTTAAATTTTTATTTTTTGTTGATTTTTGTTTGTTTATTTGGTTTTGTTTTGTGGGGTTTTTTTGGTTTTTTTTTCTTTGTTTGTTTTTTTTTTTTTTGTTTTTTTGAGTCAGAGTGTCACTGTGCAATCCTGGCTGGGCTGGAACTTGCTGTGGAGACCAGTCTGGCCTCAAGTCAGAGGAGATCCACCCGCCTCTGTCTCCCAATAGCTAGGATAAATGGCATATGCCAGGCAGCATGCTTGGCTATTTCCACATTTTTATTTGAAAATATTTCTGTATAAACGTAATTGTGTGGTGGTGGCACATGCCTTTAACCCCAGCACTCAAGAGGCAGATGCAGGCAGATCTCTGAGTTCAAGGCCAGCCTGATCTACAGGGTGAGTTCTAGAACAGACAGGGCTACAAAGAAAAACCCTGTCTCAGAAAAAAAAAAAAAGACAAAGAACAACAACAGAAGGAAATAAGGGAGGGAGGGAGGGAGGGAGGGAGGGAGGAAGGAAGGAAGGAAGGAAGGAAGGAAGGAAGGAAGGAAGGAAGGAAGGAAGGAAGGAAGGAAGGAAGGAAGGAAGAAAAGCAATTCTATCTCTGTTGGCAACCTTCACAGCAAATGTTCCTTTTGCTGGAAAGCATGATTCTCAGCTGGTAGAGGCTTCAGACTCCAGAGAGGGACTCCTTTGTCGCCCCACTTCATAGTTTTCCCTTAAGTTATCAGAGAGCTCAGCTTCCCCACGGGAAGCAGGAAAGTGTACAAGGGCAGGAACACCAGCAGGTACCAATCGTCATTCCACTTTGCTTTAGAGGTTATCTCCCAGATCTGGCCCCGGCCACCAATGTTCCACTTCTCTTTCACACACAAAACACACCATCTTCCAGGAACGCTAAAGGTTTCAGAAACAACCTTTTAAATCACATTCAGGTGGTCACGGGACACTTAAGTGTACAATTCCTTCAATATTCGTTGTCAGAAGTAGAAACTTATTGCATAAAGAAGGAATCCAGGACACCTGGGCATGAGTTTGAACCTCTGAATACCAAAGTCAGTTTGGAGCCCTACCGAGGAAAACACATGGTTCCTATAAGAGACCTAGAAATATGTGCAGCAAATACCATGGTGGCTGGGTAATACAGCAAATGCATTCTTGGATTCAGGAAAAACAGCTAAGGAGGTAACTGAAATTCCACAGGATTTGGTATTTATTTTGTAAGCTATTACTCTGTTTACTGGAAGCCCAAGAAACCATGTTCACAAGAACTGTAAATGTCATCTGCTACGCCCACAGCTGTGACACCTGTGTAGCTGTAGCAAAGCATGCCGCTGTGCTGGAGTCCGGCAGCTGAAGGGCTGAGGTTGAAGCTTCCTGGAGCGGGGCCTCAGGCAGTTTCCCCGCAATCAACGGTCGTCATGCAGCCTGAGGATCTCAGGGCGACAGTCCTTGTTTGCACTAATCATGCTTTTTCTCTGTATGTCTTTTCTGTGTCGGGGGGTGTTGGTGGACAGCCTCTAGGTGGACCCCTGAGAGTGGAAATTACCTAGAGTCGCTCCCATATACGGGAAGCTATGATGAAGTTGGGAATAGATGAGTGAATCATGAAGGAAAGAAACAACTTTGGAGTGATTTGTCTTTTATGGAAAGGCTAGCCAGGACTAGAAAGCCTTGGTGCCTTTATAGTAAGGAAGAAAGACAGCAGATCATAGAAAATATGAAGCCAGCCCTAAGGTATTGGTATAGAAGGGTATATGACAACTGGAAGGATAAGTGGATATATAGGAGTGAGGAAAAAATAAATGAAATTATACAAAAGTATATAGAGGGTGAGTTAAACCCTGGCTGGTAAAAATCTGGTTCTCACAGATGTGGTCTTTGGCGCGAGACAGATTTCACAAAATTCTGAGATCATGCCCTTAAGCAACAACCGCAATGAACTCCAAGCTGTGGAAGTGATACACAGAAATAGATACTGATGTACTTTGTTATTGTTTCTTGCATTACACAGAAATAGATACTGATGTACTTTGTTATTGTCTCTTGCACTACACAGAAATAGATACTGATGTATTTTGTTATTGTTTTTTGCTGATTCTAAGTAATTGTAAAAGTTAAAAGTCTGATGTAACCCCCTGCCAAGTTCCTTGACTGTAAAAGAATATAAGCACTGATTTTGCACAAGTAAATCTGCAGCAGCACATCAACACATTGTGTGTCTGTCTGTCATTTTCCTCGCCGATTCCTGACTTCTCCTCGAGCCTTCTCCCTGGTTCTCCCGCAGTGGTGGTCTCCCTCTGGGTGGTCTGCGGCAGTCATCAAAATGCTTTGTATCTACCTACAGTTTTGTAAGTGGTCATGTTCACAAGAAGGTGCCAAGTGATTGTCTCCAGTATATCCTTATAAGATCCTCAATATGTGCCTGTCCATGGAGCACCCAAAAAGGACATTTTTGATGACAACAAAAAACAAAGATGAGAAATGGAAAGCAACTAGTTGAGAACAATAAAGCTGTTTTTGTTTGTTGTTTTCAGATACAATTTTAAAAAAAAAAAAAAAAGCAAGCCGTTAAAAAGAAAGGTATCACAAAAATACATGTAATGTGCTATCTCTTTCTGGATGAACATTGGTTGAATGAATGTTTGGGATTTATTTTGCTGGACACTAGAAAGGAAAGAAACTACATACACAGTATGTGGGGGCAGCTCAGATGACTTCTGAAACTTTCCTGTAGAATGTTGCTGTTGCTAAGAGACAGGGAGGAGCGACACCACGAAACTGGAAGGGCTCAAAATAGTGATTTTTAGGGCTGGTTGGTTGTACAAGTCTGAGTTTTCCCGGTCCTTCTGTATGACGGGTTTGTGCTAAAAAAAAAAAAAACCATAGCAGAGGATGGTTTCGATCCATCGACCTCTGGGTTATGGGCCCAGCACGCTTCCGCTGCGCCACTCTGCTGACACACTAAGAAGGCCTCTATTTTACTCTCTAATGGCCAACATCACTTTTCTCGTTTTCTGGCGTCCTAACCTCATTTCTGGCGTTCTGGTTTCATCTCTTTTGCTGTGATAGTTTCTTCCGAGTCTCTCCACCGCACAGACTCGAAACCCATCGTTGAATGGTGCAAGGCGCGCCGGGTACGGAGTCACTTTTCAGTTTACATTTGGTTTCACGGGCACAGGGTTTCCAAAACAAACAAAACAGATTCCCGATTCAAATGCGAACGTGGCTAGGGCAATTTCAATCGTATTCCGTGTGGGGTAGTTTCGACAAAGACAAAGAAATAAGGTAACCAGCTTCCTCTTGCTTTGGCTTCTGTCGGGGACCAGGGCTTTCAGGAAGGCTGTGGATCCCAGGTCTTTCTTGAATCCAGTCACGCGTTTCCAGAGCCGTGCAAACCTTGGTCTCTAGAGGTGGGAGGCAGCCTGTTGCCATTAAGCTGCTTTATATTTTATTTTATTTTTATGTATTGTTTTAGTTTGTTCTGCGGTGCTTCTCCAGGCTCACATTAAAATCGGCTTCTGCTCCGCCAGTAGTGAAGCCCCAAGAACTCCGACTCCGCCCCGTGCGGCCGCCCCACTGCGGTGAGCGAGCGCCCCCTGGCGGACCCACATAAACGCACTGGTCTTTTTGTAGCCCCTGGAGGTTCTTTCCTGGGCAATCTCTCCTGGAAGCCTGGGCCTTCTTGCTGTTAGGATGGCTGATCTTCCTCTCTGGGGAAGATTTCCTCAAGCCAACACTAGACAGCATGAGTTTGAATTCCGACATGTCGGTCAAACTTGGGAGAAGAGGCCAGAGACAGGGACGCAGGCAGACAGGAAGGCGGTCTGGGTCTCTGGAGTTGTTCTGAACCCCAAGACAGCCTTGTTATCATCTTATATCCTCTCATCTCTGACATCTTAAGAGAATTCTTCAAATTTAGTCACACAGAGGCAAATCTCGGGATTGGAGAGATGGCTCAGCACCAGTTCTTCTGCTCTTCTAGAGGTCAAGGTTCAGTTTCCAGCAACCACGTGGTGGCTTACAACCATTTGTAATGGGTCTGATGTCTTCTTGAGGTGTGCAGGTGCGCATGCAGTCCAAGTACTCATACATAAACAGATTTATTGTCAGACTTTTCTGACTGCAACCTGGAGTCAGACCGACCTTAAACCACACCAAACAAATGTTTATCTCCATGTATATTTGTGAGACCGAGATGCCAAACCCAGCAAGTAATATTTGCCTTTAAATAGTTATGATTTCTTTATGTGTATGGGTGCTGCCCTGCATGTGGGTATGTGCCTGGTGCCGGTGAAGGGTCGAAGAGAACTTTTGATCTCCTGAACCTGGAGTTTCAGGCGGTTGTGAGCCACCATGTGGGTGCTGGGAACCAAAAGCTGTTGTGGAGTTTACTCTCTTCCCTATTATTATTCTGTCCCGTTTCATTCATTTCATTATCAGCACACCAGTCCTGAAGGTTGGAGAGAAAGCTCTGTAGTGAAGGCTGCTCTTGCAGGAAACCCTGGTTGGATTCCCAGCACCAATATCCACATAGGCTCACAGTCACTTTGCAGTTCCATCCTCTGGACTCTAAGGTTATCCACACATGTGTAGACACAAACACATACACATAATTTTAAATTATTTTTCAAAAACTGAGATAGGATCTCACCATGTAATTTCAGGTAGTCTAGAACTCACTATATACACTGAGCTGGTCTCCAATTCACAGAGATTCACATGCCTCTGCCTTCTCAGTGCTGGGATTAAAGGTGTGTACCATCACAGCCCCGCAAAAAAAAAAAAAAAAAAAAAAAAAAAAAAAAAGAAAAGAAAAGAAAAGAAAAAGAAAGAAAGAAAAGAAGAAAAAAGTGTTTTTTAAAAGATATCAGTTATGACCATTTTAATATTGGTTTTATGTCATTCGCTTTGGAGTTACAAGCTGGTTTGGAAGATACTGTCACATATAGAACGGTATTTGAGATAGATGGTCCTCCGAGAGTTAGAAGATTTATGAAACATGCTAACTTCCCCCAAATGGAAGGGCCAGTCATTAGGGTTAGGGGTGTGTTCATACCAACAGGCTTTGTTAATTCCCTCACAGACTTCCAATGTGTTTTTAACTTTTTAAAAATATTTTTATTACTTTCTATTTTGTGTATATGGATGTTTT